TCTTAAGAGTGGTTATCTTAAGTGTGAGTTTTAGGTTCTAGATATTTAAATAAGTGTGTAATATCTTATTTAAATTCTAGATTCAAACCCCAAGTTAGGCTAAGAGTGTGTAATATCTCTTAAACACCAACTTGGTTTATCCATCCCTGATTTTTCTTCCATTTCATATCCCCCCATTTCTCCTCTTAATCTCACTCTTTTCTTCCAATTAAAATACCCAAAAGAACTCCCTCATCAACTCCATATATTTCCAGTCCATTCCCCCACAAAAACACCCTTCTTCCTGCCCAGAATTCTGCCAAATAATCGATTATCATTTCCCACAATCGATTATTAATCCCATTGGAAACACCTGCAGGGCTCAATAATCGATTATCCCTTTAAGATAATCGACTATCAGCTTCCCCAGAAATTCTACAGCTTTCAGTAATCGATTGTCACTTTGTGTAAATCGATTATCTCCTGCTCCAGAACCCTGAACTAAAGCTGAATCATTCCTTGATTCCTCATCAAAATAGCCACTCGTTTAGACCCCCGGTTCGGGTATAACAGACTAACAAGACATGGAAAAGGCAAACAATTGAGAATCGCGCAAATGGAAATATGAAAGCAATGAATAACCATAATAAGTGCGGAGTTATAGTTGGAAGAACATACCTCTCCCACGAGAAGCGTTGTTCTTGTTGACTTGTATCGTCTCCTGTATGTAGACTTTGCCTTCCATCTAATTCTATTGGAGAAGCCTAACAAAAAAGGCAATGACATCACTATCGATGCATATAACAATCATTGGATATTTTGATGTATGTAAAAGATGGCATGCTCAGGGTAATTAGTGGATCAAAACAACAATATTCTAGCACATCGAGATATACTCCTCCATGACATTGCAGCTAAAACACACACACACCAGTGATAACACAAAATAGCTAATGAAAACTGAAACTAGATGGATCTCAAAGCTTGAGTGCATTACGAACACCTCGGACATGTTCAAATTCAATAAATGCATGGCAGATGCCAACATCCTGCACGCCAATTCCAATTCTTGTATCAGCATGTATCCATTTCTTCAAGGCACATATTCAACAAAGAGGGAAATAACCAACCTCGCCCTTTCTCAAAAACACTCCACCTTGCTTGATTGTTCCAATGTTTTGAAACAATATCTTGAATTGATACCGTAGTTGGTAAGTTCTTGACAAACAAAGACAATGATTTCCCTGCCACGTGAACAGATTTGGCATATCACAACTAGAAACCCAGAACGCGTTTGATTGCAAATGTAAAGTGAGTTCACGTCCGACTAGAAAACCCATATAGTAGGGCACACTTATAAGAACAAGACCAGATTTCACCTTCCTGATAAAAGCCTTTATGAACCCGTTGACAATTGAAATCACGTAAAACCATTGAGAAAGCATTTGACTGCCAGAGAACTGGTTTCCGTTCTGGAGGAGGTGGTGTGCCCTTGGTAAATAGTAATGGCACACTAGCAGGTGGTCGAGATTTCCCTTTAGGTCCACATGCCTACACATCACCAAGAATTTTATGTCAAATTATAGGAAGAAAAAACAGGTATTATGAATACTGGCACTGGTTCAATGATAATTGAAGCTTTGACAGATAGGAAAATGTGTATCGTGCAGAAAAGCTAAAAGTACGAGGGATACATACTATGGAAGCATCGCTAAGTTTTGTGATCTCCCCAACTGGTTCTTCCCGAGATGGCTGTGGAAACTCAGAAGCTTCCACATTAATTTGCAACTCAAATGGCTCTTCTTCCGAGGAACGCTCCTTGTGCACTCTTTCTGAGACGTGTTCTCGCAATTCTTAATGATACGACGAGTGCTCCCTAGCAGAATTATTTCCTTTTAGACTGACCAAGTTCATATCTTCCATTTTCTCCATTCCTGAATCATAGTAAGAGGCTGCCAAGAAAAATGGAAGGAAAGAAGTGTAAGATTAAGCCACACTAATGATGATCCAGTGCTATAATACAGAGAAGTAGTTTACTGTACTCGAGATGCTATTTTTATACAATTGGAAGCCCATGATCTAGCCATTATCCAAAAGATATATGCAGTTTAATCTAAGAACAGACAGCATAATATAACAAGCATTGAATTGCTCAGTTTACATGTTCATGCAACCTTCTTCTCTGTTATCTTCTCCTACTTCTCTGCGGCAGATTTCTTCAAGGCTTTACCACCACCACAATGAAGAAGAAGAGCAAAAAAATCGTAGCATGAAGTACACCGAGGAGGAAATTTGAATTCTCTACCTACACTGTCAGGACATAACCCTTTCTCATTAATTTGTTTTTCTACTGCATTCATTTTTTAATAAAAACAATTTTATAATAGTCAAACTTGTTCAATATCACTCTACATATTCCTCTTCATCTTCAAATTTTGAATATAGCTCTTATTCCCTTTTGTGTGACAAATTCATCTTCATGTTCAGTTGATTTCTCTTATTTTGCTACGCCTGCTATTTTTTATTTCTATTCAAACATACTATTAGGATACTGATGTCACCCACTAGCTTTAATCTGATAGTACCTAAACCTTGTTAATTCATAATGTTCTAATAACTCATGCAAAGATCCAAACCACATGAAGCTACTAGGTCACCAAAATGATCCAACGGTGATATAATCAACAAATATTGCATATAATAGAATTTAAACGGTATAATATACATAATAAATACACTTACCATCTCTCCAAGACAAATTGATGTTAAGCTCATAGAGAGTTGTCTCCATCGTAAACAAATGATGTCCAATCTGAAATTCCTTTTTGAAAGATAAACTATCATTCAAAGTTGACCCACAGAGATCCACATGAAGAATAAGACTTGAATCATTTCTCCTTCTTCCTTATTCACAAGTTGAGTGGCCTGATTTAAAACTATTTTGATATCATGGGAGAACTATGAAGTCTAAATATCAAATACACACAACAATAAAAAAATTAAATTTGTGTCCTTAGTGTGCATGCATCAACCCCGCTAAGCCTAGTTCAACACCTTTAAGTTCCCACATTTAGTGTGTTGGCATTGTCCAGTAGACTTTCTTATCTTACTTTAGTTTAAAACACCGTGTGTCATTTTTCCAAAAGAGACAAGCTAGCTAGGAGCAACTTGAATTTCAACTCTAGGTTTTCAATCAATGGCAAGGAGGAAATCGAAATTTGGAGGGAAGCAAAAACAACAAAGGTGGTGCTGAGCTAAAACAAAAACAACTAAAACCCCAAGTGTATGTTTATGCCTCATATTATGAAATCATATTTTCTTGTTTAAATTTAGATCTTATTTTGTTATTTTTTTGTTAGGATTGTAAAATATGAGAATATGCCTAAAACGTATAAAAGTACATTTCGCTTAAATGAGAAATGTCTAAGGCTCCACCAATTGTACACGGTACTTATCGAATGATTATGAAGCATATATGAATATGAAGACGTTTTCAAAGAGATTAGAGAGGCGAGTTGCAGCGATGACGGATATCCTATCATTGAGAAAGAGATCATATGTGGTTCATTGAGCGCAAAACTGCTCCTGACAAAGATAGATATCGACCTAATTGGATATGAATTCACAGGTAAGTGGTGGTTCTTTAATGATGTTACCATTGCACTTAAAGGTGTTGAATATCTTGATGAGCCCATTAGCTAAGAGGCTTTTATGTCCGTAGCTGGGTGGAAAAATGTTCAAAGAAGCCCTGGATCTTTTGAAGAATGATTGCTCTCCACAAAGCAAACGCAAATGCGAGATTTTGTCTGTACACTAGTGCGAAGCTGCAAGGTTCACATGCATAGAGAACCATGTTTATAACAGAATTAAATATCGAAAAGATGCAATGTTTGACGTGTAAGAGGAGAAGTATCACCTACTCAATGAAGAAATCTCCTAATTTTTTTAAGTGGGCCAGTGGTGATAAGAGTGAAAAGATTGAAGACATCGTGACATTGATTTCAATGAAGAAATCTCCTAATTTTTTTAAATAAAAAAAAATCTTCGACTACATGAGTATCCTCGTAAGGAACTGCGCTGCATTACCTAAAGCATGGGTTGTTTATATTTTAAGTAACAAGACTCATTTCAATGAAGACGGTTTGGGTGAAACACTTCGGGGATGCCGAATGACGATCGTGAATTGCGTGAGAAAGACCCTTGACATACTTAAAAAAATTGACTTGGATGAATTGGTAGAGAAGAATTAGATAGACAGTAAGACAAAATGCAAAGAGGTGATGAAGGAAAAACCTAAGAGCTACAAGAAGATGAGGGATATGCGGTAAGTTTTCGCCGAATTTAGAGTGATTTCACATTCTAATTAATTTAATATTTGAGAAGAGTTTTTCTAATTGTGTTTGGTATTTTTTTGTTATTGTTGTTGATATAGCTCAAGCTCTTACGTAACAAAAGGTAAAATAGAGCACAAACAACTGGGTTGAATAGTCGAAAACCACACTTCTTTCTTAGTCCTTTCAAAAAACACACTTTGAAAATACTCTCTTGAATTGACTTGAGTAGCCAAATTGCTATATTGAGCCACTACACTTCCATAAATCAAGGAATCACAAACATTCTTGACCTTGAAATGCACCTCAATGTCAGCAAGACAAGCTTTTCAGAACACTGAGTAAAATAGAGCGCAAAAAACCATCTTCGCCTGGGATATCAACTAAAATCAAGCATGTAAGTAAGAAAACTTTTATTCTTACACTTCTCGTCAACATCTTCCAGATTGATTTTCATTTCAAGGATCTCGCAATCATAAGTTTCTTTGTCCACTTCCAACAATGGAAGAACTTTTTCTCCTTCCGTTTCACAACATCGTCGCCTTAAAATATTGACCTCAACGAAGAATCGGAGACCTAGTACATCTCTTCTTCTTCCATTTTCACAACATCCTCACCTTAAGATGTTGACCTCAACAGAGAATCAATCTCACAGTACAATATACCTTTCAAGATAAGTGGCCTGGATTTAAAACTCTTTTGATATCATGGGAGAACCATGAAGTCAAAATATCAAATACACACAACAATGATAAAAATTTAACTTTTTGAAAAACATGAATTAGCTTTTGTTGCGTAAGAGCTTGAGGTATATCAACAACAATACCAAAAAAATACCAAACACAACTAGAAAATCTCTCCACGAATACTAAAACTTCAATTAAATAGAATGTGAAATCACTCTACATCCGGCGAAAACTTATCGCTTATCCCTCATCTTCTTGTAGCTCTTAGCTTCTTCCTTCATCACCTCTTTGCATTTTGTTTTATTGTCTATCCAATTCTCCTCCACCAATTCATCCAAGTCAATTTTCTTAAGTATGTTAAGGGTCTTTCTCACGCATATCATGTTCATCATTTTGCATCCCCAAAGTGTTTCACCTAAACTGTCTTCATTGAAATGAGTCTTGTTACTCAAAACATACACAACACATGTTTTAGATAATGCAGCCACGTTTTTTACGAGGATATCCATGTAGTCAAAGGTTTTTTTATTTAAAAAAATTAGGAGGTCTCTTTATTGAAGTCAATATCCGATGTCTTCAATCTTTTCACTCTTATCACCACTAGCCCACTTGAATGGGGAGTGATACTTCTCCTCTTCGAGGTCAAACATTGCATCTTTCTGATACTTAATCTCGTTATAAACCTGGTTCTCTATGCATGTGAACCTTGCAAACTCGCACAAATGTACAGACAAAATCTCGCATCCATATTTCCTTTGTGGAGAGCGATCATTCTTCAAAAGATCAAAGACTTCTTTGAACATTTTTCCACCCAACTCCAAACACAGGGGACCTCGTAGCCAATAGGCTCATCAAGATATTCTGCACCTTCTAGCGCAACGATAACATCATTAAAGAACCAACACTTACCTTTGAAATTATATCCAATTAGATCGATGTCTACACTTGACAAAAGCAATTTCGCGCTCAATGAACCACAGAAGATCTCTATCTCAATGATAGGATATCTAAGGATATCCGTCATCGTTGCAACTGGCCTCTTTAATCTCTTCGAAAACAGCGCCTTCACAACCACATATGCTCCTAATCCATTCGATAGAGTATTATGTACAATTGGTGGAGCCTTAGACAGTTCTCATTTAAGCGAAATGTAATTTTATATGTTTTAGGCATATTCTCATATTTTACAATCCTAACCAAAAAATAACAAAATAAGAACTAAATTTAAACAAGAAAATATGATTTCATAATATAAGGCATAAACATGCAGTCGGGGTTTTGACTGTTTTTGTTCTTGCGCAGCACCAGCTTTTGTTATTTTTTTGCTTCTTTCCAGATTTTGATTCCCCCCCCCCCTCTATCATTGATTGAAACCTTAGAGTTGAAATTCAAGTTGCTCATAACTCGCTGGCCTCTATTGAAAATGACACACTCGGTTTTGAACTAGAGCAAGATGAGAAAGCCTATCGAACATTGCGCGCGCACTAAATATCGGAACTCAAAGGTGCTGAACTGGGCTGAGTTGGGTTGATGTTTGTTTTTAGGCCACAAAAATTTATCACTTAATAATAATAATACTTTAAAAAACAACAATACTATTGTTAAAAAAAACAATGCTATTTTTAATTATAACAAACAGATATTCACACTTCTTTAACAAAATGAGTACCCCTTTATTAGTCCGTATTATTTACTCTGTATCCCTTATTGATAATGATATTCAATTAAATAATAATTCCTCTATTCTAATTTATGTTGTCTGTTCACTATTCACAAAAGTTAACTATCATTCACTTTGGTTACTTATTTTATTTACTCATTTGATCAAATAATATAGTAATATCAACTCTTGTTTCGCAGGGCTTTTGATGTGGTTTTTTAAACATGTAATTTTTATTTTTTGTCCCAACCCAAGTATCAAATAAATTGAATTGAAAATAACTTGTATCAAATATTGTGAACCAAAAACACAGTTATTATATTAGTCGATCTTTGATACATTCATTATTTTTGAGAAAAATTCACATGAATACTCCAAGAAATCTGTGATTTCACGTTCATACTCTGGAAGTGAATAATTTACACCGCTGCTCCCAGTGATAATTTAAATTAATACTGGTAGTCTGGGTTGCCAAGTAATGAGAATGCGTGACATTTTAAATGATGACTCTAAACTATTAAGTATGTGTTGGTAACTACGGAGTGATAAAAAATAAAAGAAAATAATGTTTCAAACAAAATAAAGAATTTTAAAGTACATATTTCATAATCAAATTTATATTCGTTGGAAAGATCTTTAAAATATAAATTTTGGACTATATCAACTTTAAAATTCTCTAATCTTTTATCTGAAACACTATTCATATATAACTTATCTGATTAAAATATAAACACTTTGTTTTTTGTTTTAACACATCTTTATTTCAAATCGACATGGAGAGAAAATTATAACGCATTCAAGGTATTTTCTTAATTTTTGTAATTGATTACCAACTCATACTTAATAATTATTCAATTGCCATTTAAATGCCACGTATTCAGCTTAGTGGGCAACCTGGAGTATTGGTGTAAAATTGAGTAATTTATGAGAGCGGTGGTGTAAATTATTTAATTTAGGAGTATTATCACAAAATCACAAATTTATTGGAGTATTCATGTGAATTTTTCCTTATTTTTATTATATCAAACATCTAATATATTAATGCATTACTATGTTTAAAAATTTATTTTTTTAATTATGTAGATTTTGTTGTCCAAAGTCTGAATTTTTCCGACCCGAACTGCATTTTGATCAGTTCTATCCCTAGTAAACCCCTCGCCTTGACTCGATTTGAACTAGCCTTGAACCTGAAGTCAACTACCCTTTGGCGGTTCAATTGAATGGGGTGGGGTAGTCAGTTCGGGTTGGGCCAGGATAGATAGATAGAGAGAGAGAGAGACTAAGTTTATGATTTTGGCCATTTATATGCTCAACTCTAGGTTCATAATATTCTGTTTGGCTTAATATTTAGAGCCGTTTCTGAAATTCAAAGTTGGGGCTGAAATCGGAAGGTCTAACGAAGCTCTTGACCCCTGCTCCGAGCAAAAATATAGTACGAAAATTGAACCCAAAATCAAAATTAAACACTTTCATCAGAAAGTGTTTAAAAAGAACCTGAAAACGTTGATTATGAAAAAAACAGAGGGGAAGTCCATGGGCGAGTACGATCGAATCTTAAGGTAGTCTGTATTCTCCGTTGAGGTCATCAGTGCCTTCTCCAGTTCTCCATTTATAGAGGGAAAGCTTGCAAGAAAGCTAAGAGTACAAGGGATACATACTATGGAAGCATCGCTAAGTTTTGTGATCTCCCCAACTGGTTCTTCCCGAGATGGCTGTGGAAACTCAGAAGCTTCCACATTAATTTGCAACTCAAATGGCTCTTCTTCCGAGGAACGCTCCTTGTGCACTCTTTCTGAGACGTGTTCTTGCAATTCTTAATGATACGACGAGTGCTCCCTAGCAGAATTATTTCCTTTTAGACTGACCAAGTTCATATCTTCCATTTTCTCCATTCCTGAATCATAGTAAGAGGCTGCCAAGAAAAATGGAAGGAAAGAAGTGTAAGATTAAGCCACACTAATGATGATACAGTGCTATAATACAGAGAAGTAGTTTGCTGTACTCAAGATGCTATTTTTATACAATTGGAAGCCCATGATCTAGCCATTATCCAAAAGATATATGCACTTTAATCTAAGAGCAGACAGCATAATCATAACAAGCATTGAAGAGCTCAGTTTCAATGTTCATGCAACCTTCTTCTATGTCATCTTCCTCTACTTCTCTGTGGCAGAATTCTTCAAGGGTTTACCACCACCACAATGAAGACGAAGAAGAAGAAGAAGAAGAAGAAGAAGAAGAAGAAGAGCAAAAAAAATCGTAACACGAAGTACACCGTATGTAAAGAGGAAATTTGAATTGTCTATATACAATGTCAGGACATAACCCTTTCTCATTAATTTGCTTTTCTACTGCATTCGTTTTTTAATGCGAAAAGATTTAATAATTCGTTTTAGTTTGTTATTATTCCTAAAAACCTTACTAAAAACAATTTTATAATAGTTAAAAAAACAAAGTTCCAATAGCTTGTTCAATATCACTCTACATATTCATCTTCATCTTCAAAATCTGAATACGGCTCTTATTCCTTTTTGTGTGACAAATTCATCTTCATCTTCAGTTGATTTCTCTTATTTTGCTACGCCCGCTTTTTTTAAATTTCTATTCAAACATACTATTAGGATACTGATGTCACCCACTATTTTTAATCTGATAGTACCTAAACCTTGTTAATTCATAATCTTATAATAACTCATGCAAAGATCCAAACCACATGAAGCCACTAGGTCACCAAAATGATCCAACAGTGATATAATCAACAAATATTACATATAATAGAATTTAAACGGTATAATATAGATAATAAATACACTTACCATCTCTCCAAGACAACTTAATGTCAAGCTCATAGAGAGCTGTCTCCATCGTAAACAAATGATGTCCAATCTGAAATTCTTTTTTGAATGATAAACTATCATTCAAAGTTGACCCACAGAGATCCAAATCAAGAAGAAGACTTGAATGCATTGGAACCACAACCACACAACGAGCGAGTGGTACCTTCCCATCAACCCCTAATTCTGCTAGATCTTTCTTAGACCTTTTAAAAAGCGCACTTCGAAAATACTCTCTTGAACTGAGTTGAGTAGTCGAAATCACTATATTGAGCTACTACACTTCCATAAATCAAGGAATCACAAACATTCTTGACCTTGAAATGCACCTCAATGTCAGCAAGACAAGCTTTTCGGAACATGGAATAAAATAGAGCGCAAAACCCATCTTCGCCTGGGATAACAGAACATCGCTGGGTGTTGAACCAAAAAGGATATCGGCTGAAACCAAGCATGTAAGTAAGAAAACCTTTATTCTTATACTTCCCGTCAACATCTTTTAGATTGATTTTCAACTCAAGCATCTCGCAATCATAAATTTCTTTGTCCACTTCCAACAATGGAAGAACTTTCTCTCCTTCCATTTTCACAACATCGTCACCAATACTCTTGAATAGACATTGTGTATTATGGTAGGAAGTGATTTCAATAGTGCCTGACACATTCAATGCAATCAAATTTCTACGACCAATAAGAACAGAGTAGAACTCCACTAAGTTTGATGCACGAGGTATCACTGGCATACTATGATGATGGCACCTATTAACATGAATAAATTGAGAGACCAAATTAAAACTTGTAACAAAAGTGGCTAAGCTAATATAATATATTACATGTGCGCAAAGGTAAGAACCACATACCAAAGGTTGTCTTAGAAAACGCATTCATCATCAGATTGGAAAGAAAAGACAAAAGGAGGTCAAAATAGGAGTGAAGTAAAATGAAATATAACTCCCTCCGCCTCAAAGTATGGTGATTAAAAAATTTGCTAGATAAATCTAGTGGAATCATTTCCGTACTAATATATAATACAATTTTTATTTAATTGATGATTAAAGTTTGTTTAGTTTGACTAAAAAAGTCAAACTAAAAGTTCACGTTGTGCCGATGTACCCAACTTTTCTAATCGGTGTCCAATAAATACATTGGTGATTCCAATTGGTTCCCCTCGACTTCTGTGTAATTTACAACCATAACCCTCTACTTGGATCCATTAAATATTTAATATTCTATCAAATGCTGATATGACACAGCCCAATCTAGGACCAATTCTGGTTATCCAAATGGGCAAAACCGGAACCCTCCCCCCGGGTTGTTACCATCAAAACGGGAAGTAAATCACTATTATGGGCAGTTCCGGTTCCGGTTCCGATCCCTATACCCAAAAGTGAGAATCAAAACAAGAACCCTTCCAGGACGACTCCATCCTAGAACCACCCGTTCTGATTCCGGTAACAGTTCCGTGTCCAAGCCTATCCTAAATCCTGCAAACTCAACACCCATTCAACATATCGCCATGGAAAAGACAGGCAAAAAATCCTCCTAATCCTCACAGCCTAGCCGACATCTGCTCCTCTGGTCCTTCCCGGATACTGGTACAACTTCAATGTTGCAGCACCTAGCAATTAAAACCAAGTTCTAATTTCCAGTCTGGGCTGTTTTTTGGGGGGTTAAAATGTTAAATGGGGGGCAGGGGAGGGTCGGCCAGCTTTTGGTAGTTCAGATGGTTAGGTGTGTGTGGGTGGCAGTTATGCTCCAGGATTTAGAGGTGATAGGCAGTGAGTGGGAGGGGTGGGAGATAATGGGGTGAAAGAAATGTAATGGTTTGGTTTGAGGGGATTTTAGCTCATTTACTACTAAGTTTAACAAAAATCACAATTATGGCGATGGGAGTACTTGGTCAAGTGTTGAGAGGCATCAACTGGAATCACAAATATGTTTAATAGGATACCAACTGAAAAAAGAGGAAACAAGATGAACTTGAAATAAATGAAGCATAGAAAAGATTAAATGCATCCAAATCATCCTTTTTTGGTAATTTAATGAATAGCCTATCTTGCTTTTTGTATGAACTCATTTTCTTGCTCTTTTGGAAACATAGTGCTCAGAGAGAATGGATTACCTCATCCAAATCACTGCTCTCATAGCAGCAGCCATCAGGTTGATACGAAAACATAGGCATATGCACATGAATGGTCAAACCATCTACTGTCACTACATGCTCAGTTGATAATATACCATTCCGGTCAAATAATTCCACTTTTCTTTTGATGAGCATTCTGTTGGCATCGAAGTCTCTCAAATCCAGATCAAGAATGAGTGATGAATAAGGAGGCTTCCCTAACCAGTATCTGGAGAGCCTCAAGGATCCCTTTGAATTTAAATTTATAGGCTCAAATGCATTATTACTCTCAAAAAGAGTACATTCTTCCAAGTCATAGTTGCCGTAAGTGTTCTTATATCGTGCAGATATTTTACCGGAAACATTAACTTGATGGATGCTTTTGTCATTGCTAGAGAAAAGAACACCCAATCAACCCAAAGTAGCAAATGGCATTGCAATATAAACAACAGTAGCGGAGCAAAGTTTTCCACCGACTTCTTTTGATTTCACTTCTTCAAAAGGACCTTCAGTTGTATCCCCCACTAAAATGTCATCTACGGCAAGTAGAGCCGTCTGATCTCCAATTTTGAGATCGAGATCCACAGCTATTGGTGTTTTGTCCAATTTCATCCACAAGTCATGGACCTCCTGATTATCAGGCCAAGTGACAGTAGGTCTAATGTTTTCAGCATCATTACGGCTTCGGCTATAAATGTCAAGATGCATTGGTCTACCATCACTGATGTGCAGATACTTAGCATGAATCCTACCATACACAAAAACTGGCCTGCCTTTGTGTGCTGGTTTCGGTAGTATATGAACTGATTGCACATCAAGCAATGGTGTGGCTAAAACATGTTCGCGACCTTTGGCTTGTTCGGTTTCTCGTGCTAATATCATTGATAGCACCATAACCCTCTCAAAGATAGGCCAGATCTTGGGATGTAACGTAGAGGTACCGTTTCAAAAGATTGCCGGAATCATCCATAATTTCAGATTTGCTGCAGCAAAATTGGGTTGAAACATTCAATACACATCCGTCGAATAGAGAAGCAAGGTGCGACTAAACACTAATATCAAATTGTATAACGTGAATCAAGGCCTGGAGATGGAGAGGGTGAGTGAAATGCAAGTGCAATGAAGTAAACTAATGCAACATACTAAACTAAATATGAAATGCAAGTGATAAATGAAAAGCAAGCCTAGGTTAGAGATTTCATGCTAATCATGCAATTGCCAACGGATTAGAGGATAACAAGAAATCAACTAGAATGCGAGCAAATCACCTTGATTCTCACTTCGGAAGTGAGAATCGAGAAAGAATCCGCTTGATAAGAACCCACTTCCGTGGTGCTCGTCTCAAGAGAACTACAAACACATCAAATAAGCTACTCAAGTATCCTCCACTTCCGTGGTAGGACTTGAGAGTAGAGACACGCTACTAAGGTTCTAAATCCCAATTCCTCGGTGATTTAGAATCCACTCCGAAATACAAGAATGTCATTGTGGGCCTTGTGGCCAACAATAACATCCAAGCATAGATATAGCATAATCCCTGCAAACAACCTAGAACAATATCTCATATTTCACACTAATCCATTAACAACAAGCACAAATCAACAATCCATCCCTAACCTAGGCTAGAAAATCTAGCCTAGCATGCTTAAACTAAAGAGATGCATAAAAGATAAGAGAGAAACACATAAACAAAGCATGAAGAAGATGGAGTAAATAAAAGCTAACGCTAAGGAAGAAGAAAATTAACATTCAAGTAACCCTAATCTAACGAGGAAAAAGGAGAAAATGGGAAGCTCTCATACAATTTGGATACAGGGGAGTTTATATAGAGTAGAAGGGAGTGGGAGTAAAATGACAAATAAGGGTTCAAAACTAAAGATTAAAATAAAATATACCAGGGGTAGATATGTCATTTAAATGGCCCAAAATGGATCTGGATTTGCTTCTGGTTTGTGTGTGGGCCTTCTGTTTCTTCACCGGCAAGGAGCTGGAGGTGGGTCGTCATCATTCGTCGCCGGCCTGGAGGTCGCTATGTGGACGTCGCCGGCGCGATGGAAGAACGCCGGAGCTGCTCGCCAGACTTGGAAGGACGTCGCTGGAATACTGTCGCTGCTGGATTGGAGTTGGACTGCCGATGTCGCTGTTGCTGGTGCTCACCGGAGAGGACGCCGGTGATTGACGCGGAGCTTTGAGTCGGGTTGCTGGTCTGCTTCGGGTCGCGATTTTTGCCCGTTTGGAGCGCTGCATCTGACAGAAAATAAAACCAATCCAACTATACAAACCTCATTTTAGGAATTATAAATTGACCCCATTATTTGAATTTAGTTGCAATTCAGCCCTTCCACAATTATTTGGACTCTAAAATCAATCAATTATTATAAATCAATCCAAAATCTTAAATACGATGAATACGGCACAATTTGGCTCTAAATCACGTCAAAATTCAAGTTAATAAGTTTATCAAATGATTTATAAAATGTGTCTAAATAATAGACAAATCACCCACAGCGTGATGCCCGGCCGCCTGGAAGAAGCCATCGTCTCCTCTAGCCCAGCTAAAATAGACCGGGCAGTCTCGGCGTGATGCCCGGCCGCCCATTGAGCAGCCTTAGCAGGAAATGCCTCCTCTTTTGCTCGGGCAGATTCTTCGACTTGGGCCAGCGCCTCATCGAGCTCGGCCACTTTTCTCCTCCCATCCTCCTTCACTTGGGCAGACCTGGCACTCTCCTCCTCTCGTTTGGCCTTCTCGGCCCTCAACTCTTCCTCGAGCCTCTTCTCCCTTTTCGCCTGGTCGTTAATCTCCAACTTGGCGGAATCAAGGAGGAGGGTGAGTTGGGAGACCTGGTCCCTCGCCTCCAGGAGTGACCGGCCAACATTTTCTGATATAGCCCCGGCCTGAAGATACGAAAAAAGGTTTATCACTAAAAGTGAATGAAGTCTTTTTGCCAAATAATTAAACTGGGAAAAAAATTAGAGATGGAATACCTTGTGAAGTCTTTTTGCCAAGGCTAGGAAGGCTTCTTCGATAGACTCCCCCTCCAGATTTAATGACCCGGTCTTTTTCTTCTTGCTCATACTGGAACTCTTTTGGGGGCCCTTCCTTTTTTGAGCTTTAACGTGGGAAGAAGAAGCACCGGTCTCTTTTGATTTTGCTTTAGCCTGGACTTGAGGGGAATCAACCCGGTCATCCCTGGAGAGATGGGTGGCCGAGAGGGATTTCACCTTCTTGTCCCGGATGAGCTCATGGAGAGGGGTGCACCGGCCAGTGGTAGCCCCTTCCATTTCAGACATTTGGGGAGGGGAATGAGGTTTTGAGAAGCGAGACTGGTCGGCATGGAGGACTTCATCATCAGATGCATCTAGATTGACGAACCCGGTGAAATTCATGTCTGCCAAAGAAAACAAAACAACAAATAACCGGTTAGATATTTCGCCTATAAAAAAAGATGGAAAAGACAAAGGCTCGAGAAAAAATGGCCGACCTGGATGAGGAGAACTGGCCTCAGCATGACCATCCGGGGAGTTGGCCCGGTCATCTTCTGCGTCATGGGTCGCAAATGTGCCCTCATCCGGGTTGGGTAACCGGTACACCTAGCCACCATAGACGTAAGGTTTCCCGGTCACAGGATCACCCTTGAGAAGTTTCTCGCAGGCGTCCTCAAGCTCGAGGGTGGGCTCCGGGTGAACCCTTTCATGTTTTTCTATCCGGTTAGCCCACTCAAGATTGGAAAATGGAAATTGCTCAAGGGGAAACTCAATGAAAACAATATTGTGTTTCCATTTTTTGTGACCAGGGGAAGACCGGTCACAAATCCTCTCTTGTTGCGAGAATGGAAGTAAAAAAAGCCCAGGCAATTGCTAGTCCCGGGTAAGACTTCGAACATATGAAGGAAAAGTTGAAGGAAAGGCTTATTTTTAGAGAATCACAAATATTGACAAAACAATTAAAGGCTATATTTACACCATCAGCTACTAAGGGGTATGAATTGCTTATGGGTGAAAGTACTAAAGTCCAAGGGTATCAACTTGTAGGGAATAAACTAACAATTCCCCCACAAAAGACAGGGCATATCATGTTCATGGATGTTGATCTCAATCGTGCCCTCTGCTTGAATGCAATTGAAGATTAGGTCCATATGTATTATGATTATAGGTTTACCAAAGAGATTCAAAGTGAGATCTGCAGGTGGATTGAGTATAAGTAAAAAGCAGCAAATGATAATGAATGGCAAGAGGAATGTTGGGGGAAAAAAGGAAGATCATGGTAATTGCCTATGCAATTGTTTGCTATCTTGTATGGAGTGCAAGGAATAGAAAGGTTAAACATCAAGAGGACACTTCAATTTAGGAATGCAGTACTTGGGTTAAGAATCGACTAAAAGTATCCGCTAACTTTAAACTAAAAACCAAATGTTTGACTTAGGCCCCATTCTGTTCAACTTATTTTTTCTGTTTTTTTCTTTTTTTATTAAAATCAGATCATATCATATCATATCATATCCAATCAGATTATGTTGGAATTTTTGGCATTTTTAATAGGCATTAAATGGACCAACTTGGGTATATTTATCAATAGGTCCACTAACGGTTTTTGGTAATTAACGGTTTTGATAATTTATACGCCAAAAATGGTAGAGGGTGAATGAGAAATTGATTCTTAGAGTTAACCCGTTAATAAAAGAATATGGTAAGTGTTAGACATTCATAATTAGTATAAATATTGTTTATGGAAATATTGTAATTTAGGTAGCTACCATTATGATTCCTAATTAGGTTAGGAATCTACCTCCTATTTATATACATATGTATTCTCCATATTCAATTAATAAAGAGTCAATTATTCTTTTATCAACATGGTATCAGAGCTCAGGCTTCTTCCACAACCCTAGCCCGTTTTTTCTCTCTCTCGTGCGCCGCCGCACGCACGCCGGCGTCTCTCTCTCTCTCTGTTGTTTGTGTTCGATCATCAGCATGACAACAAAAGAAACAGATCTGTTTCTTTCACTTCCCAGTGGCTTAAAACTCTTTCTACGAAATCTTCATTCTCTAGTTCCCACAAAACTGGAAGACAACAATTACCCATCATGGTCGTCAACCGTTAAAGCTACGTTGCAAGCTCATAAGCTTCTCGGCTTTGTGGAAGGAACGGAAGTTATGCCATCGCCGACCATACTGGATGAAAAGGCCCCTGCCAGCGACAAAGGGCCTGTGTTAAAGGCAAATCCTGCCTACGATCTATGGATCATCATTGATGCTCAACTACGTGCTTCTCTTCTTGCACTTCTCTCACCTGCCGTTCAGAGTCTTGTGTATCACTGCAATACCGCTGCTGAAATTTGGAGTCATCTACATCAAAGGTATAATTCGTTATCCCGGACTCATATTTTTCAACTCAAGGAACAACTTCATAATCTCAGAAAAGGGCAATCAAGCATGCAAAAATACCTTGATGAAGCGCTGCAAATTGTTAACTCTCTTGCCCTTGCTCGTGAACCTGTCTCTGAACAAGATGTTATACTTAACATATTGCGTGGTCTTCCTCCCGAATATGCATCTCTCAAACAGAATGTTCGGACAAATATTGCCACTGTCACGCTTAATAGTATCTCATCATGGTTGCTTTCCGAAGAACTCAACATCCAACTAGAACAGAAGCTTCTACTCGGTTCGTCCTCCAGCTCCTCCACAGATCTTCCAACCGCATTCTATGCCTCCAACCAACGGGGGCGAGGCCGTGGACGCTTCAGCAACGGCAGGGGGGCTGGTCGCTACGGTGGCAGTAACAGTGGCGCACGCCCATACGGCCGTACCGGAGGTCGAGGGCGAGGACAGACCAGTGACACTACTGTTGTGTGTCAAATATGTGGGAAACTGAATCATAGTGCCTTGCGGTGTTGGAATAGGTTCAATGAAGAATTTTCGGGCTCCTCCTCTGCCGGCACCAATCCTCAAGCTTTTTACACCGCATACTCTACAGATCCTGGTCCAAATTGGCACTTAGACTCTGGAGCATCTACCCATGTGACTTCTGATTTATCCAGATTGCAAAATCCTCAGTCATATTATGGCACCAACTATGTCTCCACAGCTGGGGGGCAATCTCTACCAATTTCTCATATCGGCTCAGGTCAGGTTACTACACCTACAGGTACCTTCACTATTTCTAATCTCCTTCACGTTCCTACCCTAAACACTCATCTCTTATCTGTCCACAAATTTACCACTGACAATAATTGCTCTATCCTTTTTACCTCTAAGGAATTTCTGATCCTGGACAACTCTTCCAATCAAGTGATATACAGAGGCCCATGTGAGCGTGGCTTATACACCCTTCCTGTTGTGTCTGGTCACGGCTCATCTTCGTCCAAACCCGCTGCAGCTCCTCTTGTGGCGAATGCTATGACAACAACGCCTCATCAGTGGCATTGTCGGTTGGGTCATCCGTCGTTTCAAGTTACCAAGTCTCTTTTTTCAAAGTTAGGTGTGTGTCAAGAGTCAGATTTGTTTCATTGTGAGTCTTGTTCTGTGTCCAAGTCGCATAAGCTACCCTTTTCTTTATCTATTACTGTAACTACTGAGTCTTTTCAATTAGTCCATTCTGATGTTTGGGGTCCTACCTCTGTTTCATCAAATGGTGGTTATCACTTTTATATTAATTTTGTGGATGATTATACTAAATATTGCTGGATTTATCCTCTAAACCACAAATCTGAGGCCTTTGGTGCTTTTCAAAGTTTCCAATTTATGGTGCAAAATCAATTTGGCAAAACCATTAAAATTTTTCGCACTGATAATGGTCGTGAATATGTTAATCATAAGTTTGGGAATTTTTTACAACAATTGGGGGTTCTCCATCATAAAACCTGCCCCTATACACCTGAACAAAATGGAGTAGCTGAGCGTAAACATAGACATCTCATTGAAACACTTCTTACCCTTCTCTACACTTCCTCTCTCCCTGCCACATTCTAGGTTGAAGCTTTGGCTACAGCAAACTATCTTATCAATCGTATGCCAAAGCGATCTCTCAACTACAAATCTCCGTTTGAAGCTCTATATCACGTCCCACCTGAATACTCTCATCTCCGCGTATTCGGTTGTCTTGTGTACCCTCATCTTCGTCATGAGGCAGATCACAAGCTACAACCTCGTTCCAAGCGTTGTGTCTTTCTAGGATATGAGCCGTTGACCAAAGGTTACAGATGCTATGACCCCTCCACAAATCGTGTCTACATTTCGTGTCATGTTCAGTTCCATGAGTCAGTTTTCCCATATCAGGACTCTTCTCCACCGTCCCCTGCATCGTCCTACTTTGGTGTCCTTCCTATCTTCCCCGAACCCTTGGTGTCTAGTCCGCCTCACATGGCCTCTTCCCCTAACCCACAACCCACCTCTCACCGGCCGTTAACAACCAACCCGCTGGTCCCACCCGGCTTCTCC